GCATTGCCACTGACACGACCACTGCACAGTGCGATCGCGAGATGCCAAGCTGTGGACCGTGCTCAAGTGTGTCGAAATCACGCAGCTCCGAGCCAGAAGCTGACACCGAAGGGACACAGGACGCGGCAAGACTGGAGAATGCACATACGACATCTTTGCGGCGGGCGGTGAAGGGATCATGCCACCGTCAATTGCTCGCACAGTCGAGGTGCAACAGCTCGCTGCCCGGCTCGCGCACGTCGAGGCGTACTTGAAGACGTTGCCACCCAACTTGGCCTCGTTTGCTCCTTACACTCCAGTAGGCACAGACACTGCACTCGGTGATCCGAAGCGCAAACTTATCGGTCTAGGTAATCGACAACGCGACCAAGAAGACACGTACAGCGACACAGAGGACGCCGCTGTTAATCTGGAGAACGGCGTGTTTGGGTCGCGCTTGGCCAAAGACGGAAAGGTTATCAACGGCAAAATACCTCCAGTCGGACCTTCTGCTGCAACATCAATCTCGAATTCTCGCAGATTTGGTGCACCGCCTACCGAGCTAACCAAAGCGCTCACATCGATCGTGGCGACAGAACCTCTGAACGAGCTGTACGCGCGGTCGCGCCTCGCTGTCGACTTTGACGCCAGCCAACACTCGATCGAACAAGCAAGACAAGATGAAATGAGTCGCATCTTGCGCGTGCTGCCTCCGCCTGACATAGTCACCTACCTTGTCGAGCTCTACTTTGGACCCGTCAACTGGTTGTTTCACACTTTACACGGCCCGACATTCATGATCGAGCTGGATGCATTCCAAGCCCTCTGCCAAGCGAATCGCCAACTCGACACCGACCCGCTGTTTCTGGCTGTGCTGCTCATGGCGAGTCCGCCCCGGAGAGACGCTGTTGCCGGGCTGACTGAATTTGACAGGTCCTGTGCATTGCGGTCGACGGAGTCTCTTCTGCTCGGTCGCCCTTGTCGCTCGATGCGCGATTCGATCTCGGATCGAGTCCGCTACACTCTTATACTCGCGAGCATTTGCAGATGCTGCCAGAGCGCTTCTTTCAGGCGGCTCAGCGCGCACTCGTCCTAGGCGAATGGGACACTGTACCCAGAATTCGAACGATCCAGGCAAGCTTCCGAAGTCTGAAGTTGAACGCGTGAGCGCGCTAACGATCTACGCTAGACCGTGATCCTTTTCACGCAGTACCTGCAACTATCGTCTCCGACACGAGGTCAGCCGTCTCAGCTCGTCACGTGGCTCTCGGTGGCCATTCGGATCGCACAGGTGCTAGGCTTGCACCAACTCGGATCCAATGCCGAAGTGATGCCGCCAGACGATCCTGCTTTGCCGCCGGGCAAAAACTCTCATAAACGAGAGACTGCAAAGCGACTTTGGGCAGTGCTCGTGTATCAAGATTGGCTTGGAGCTTCATTCAAGAATCGCAGCTATCTCATTTCGCCCTATCACTTTGACACGGACGATCCCCTCAATCTGAACGACAACGATTTGAGTGGCATAGACTGGAAGGTGAACCCTGCGCCAACTGCTGTGCTGACAGATTCGACACCGGATCGCGTGCGGATCGCAACCGCGCGTCAAGTGCGCAAAGTCTTTGACGCGGTCGTTCTGCCGCAAGACTTTACCTACGAGACCGTTCTGGACCTAGACAAGGGCTATAGAAGCATGTGAGTTGATGCAAAAGAAGGAAGGTTAGAGACTGACGTTCAAGACAGCCTCGACAGTTTACCAGACCGCTGGACGATGGAGAGCAGCGCTGAAGAGAACGAGCAGCCAATGTTCCGATTTCAGCGATATTTTGCGATCGAGGGTATCCACAACAGAGTTAGTTCATCCGTATGAATGCCTCACTACTTACCGACTCATGATTGACAGATTTTCCGCCTGCACCGTCCGTTCTCGACGAGGGTGAGCACCAGAGTGAAAGCTCTGGCATTCAAAGTGCGCTGACCGAATCATCATCAGGGATACACCCAATCCAAGTACCGTTACTCGACGGTGCGTTGGCTCGAGCTAACGAGTTGGACCTCTGCTGACTGGCACTTTTCAGGACGCGTGCTTGAAGAGCGCCCGTGCAGTGATCGTCTCCAAACATAACGTGCAGTACGCAACGATTGATATCTGGTACACTTACTCACATGTCATGGGCGCCACGCTTGTCCTGTTCAACGACCTCTTTCAAGCAATCGACTACGATGCATCGAGCTCGGAGATTGACTCGAAGCGTGACACACTCAATCTTGCGGCAGAAATATTTTCTCAGGGACATTTAGTGTCTTCGCCGTCGCTTCAAGTAGTTGTCGAGCAAGGGTCGAAGATCATTACCGGATTGTTCCGCGCGGCAGAATCGAGGCGAATGGCTCGAGCCGCCAGACACTTGTTGTCTGCCGGTCAGCCGCAAGACGAAGGCGAGAACGAGGAAGAAGACGACATTGAGAGTTTCGCAGACGTGTTGCAGCGGATATCTCGATCTTTGAATACGCAGACAGCGCCGCACAGAGGTACACCGCCACCGACGCGCAACATAAACAGCGCACAGCGGCCGCACTCGGGCCCGGCACTGGCTTCGTTTGCACTCGACTCTGACCAGTCTACCGGACTCAAGACGACATCATTCGAACCGGTGGCCCCGGCGAACTTGCCGGATGAATTTGGCAACCCTTGGCCGTTTCCGACCTCAAATAACGGACGACAAGACGACCTCAGCTTGTCGTTCTTTGAGCAAGAGTTTGCGCCGGACATGGGAGTGTTCGCTGGCACGCCTTCTGCAATAACTTCGAGCGGTCTCTGGAACCTGGACGCCACAGGCGCGTTTGCTAATCCGACGCAAATGGCGATGCCGGTTGCGCCCGCGTTTCCACCGACGACGGGCTCGGTATCCGGAGGGTTGTCTGGCTGGAGTGGGCAAGCGGGAGGTGGGGCCGAAGCAGGTCCGGCAGTATACCCTTCATTGCTCGATCAACTGGGTGGTGGATGGTAGTTGGCTAATGTTGATATCATACGGGATGCGACTTCGTATTTGTTTCTTGCAACATTGTTGTTCCGGGCCAGCTTGTGATTGTAGGTTTCTCTTGTTGCGAACATGCCTTCTGTGCCGTCTACTCAGCGCGTGTGGGCCGTCAAGCATCCTCTGAAAAAGGACTGCTCCAACTTGACGTTGGAAAGCAGACCTGTCCAACAGCCGCAGGGAACTCAGGTGCTCGTCAAGGTCCGTGCGGTGTCTCTCAACGCGCGTGATGTTCAGATCAGTGCAGGCACGGCTGAAAAACAGAGCTTCAAATCACGTCATCACTCACACCTGGCTTTCCAGGAACGTATCCTGCCCCTGTCCAAGTGCAGGATGGAATTATCGGCGGCAGCGACGCGGCCGGTGACGTCATCTGTGTAGGTGATGCAGCGACGCGCTTCAAAGTCGGCGACAAGGTCATATCTCTGTTTGCGACGGGCTGGCTCCACGGCGAGCACGACGATTCGTACCAGACTCGCGGGCTCGGTGGCGGCATCGATGGCGTTTTGCAGGAGTATTTCCTTTGCGACGAGGTCAGTGTGTAGCCAGACCGAAGGCTGCAGGTCTAATCAAGTCTACACACTACAGCAAGCGCTTGTGACTATGCCTACGCACATGTCTTACGAGGAGGCTTCGACGCTGCCTGTTGCGGCGCTTACGGCTTGGCACGCCCTGTGGGAAGTGCCTGGCTGCGTCCTCATTCCTGGACAGACAGTTCTCGTTTTGGGAACTGGTGGTGTATCTATGGCAGCCGCGCAATTTGCATTGGCGGCTGGCTGTAAAGTCATCGCCACTTCGAGTTCTGACGACAAGCTCGAAAAGATCAAACAACTCGGAGTGCATGCTGGCGTCAACTATCGAAACCATCCAGAATGGCACGACGAGGTGATCAAGGCAAATGGCGGCAGAGGAGTTGACCACGTCATCGAAGTTGGCGGGCGAGGGACGCTCGTCCGTTCGATCAGGGCAACCAGACCTTTGGGACATGTTTGGATCATAGGGTATATGTCAGATTATCAGACAGAATCTGAAGAAAGGCCCGAGTACGCCAAGGAAATCTTGTACACCCAGGGTGAGCTTGCTTCTTGATCAAAAATCCCACCAGCAAGTTCTGACTTATCTTCAGCCGTCGTCCACGGCATCGTATGCGGGTCTCGCGATATGTGCGAGAACATGGTTCGCGCAAGCGAGGCGAAGCAGATCCATCCCGTCGTTGACAAAGTTTTCAACTTCGAGGACACTGTCAAAGCCTACCAATATTTGGATTCTGGCGCCCACTTCGGCAAAGTATGCATCTCATTGGATTAGAGACCTTGTCATCTTTATTACTGTCGCTTGCAGCATTAGTCATAGCCGAATTAGTACAAACTTCGTGTATCAGCGTGTAACGCCGTTCAGAGCTCATTCGCCGCATCGGGCCAACAGTTTGCCACGAGAAAGACTATGACCAAGTGTTAAATTGCAATGGATAGTTTTTCACAGAAAAAGAAACGAATGAGAGGGGCGCCACTATCTTGCAGCTTCGTTGCTTCAAGATAATCGCTGTGCGACGAGTCCTCCGCATGAAGGCGGCAGCCGCAACATAAGACGCTGCAGGACGAACGGTTTGCCCCGATCTGCACCGCCGCGCTCCATGGAACCTCTGAGTCTCACCGTAAAGTAGGACTGCAAAAAGAAAAAAAGAGCTCTTTGTTCTGTTATGTTTAAACATGCGAGCTCTTCTGCCTTTCGGACTTTGCCACTTTCTGCCGCACTTTCAACCCTCCTCGCCGTCCTCTGGACACCAGTGTACCCTCTTCGCCGTGTTCTGCAGGTCCAGGTCGGGCGCGCGCGGCTAGCTAGCGCCACGTGTACACCGAATTGGTGAGTCGAGGCTTGCAAAGACCTGCTTCGACCAAGCAAGTGATGAAATGCAATAGTCAGTTTGTTCAGGAAAAACATCATGTCGTCGTGTGAGGACAAAAAGAGCAGCGGACCGCCCAAAAAAGAAGTCCCGGACGCGAGTTGAACGCGCGACCCTGCGATACCCAGACTTAACTGGAGTCGCATGCTCTACCACTGAGCTACCAGGACTTGATGTCATGACACCGTGACATACATATATGTACAGCAAAATACAGTTTCGGTACGGCCTTTTTTTAATCATCCGTACGTGCGCCACATGACGCTCTAGCGCTTTTTAGCGTGCAAGTGTCGACTGCATCAAAGAAATTCCCCCGTGTTGAGAAATCAGCAGCAAAGATCTCGTTGGCCGAACATGCTTTAGTTTTGCGAACAGAAATCACCCGGTGAGTCTCGTCACTATGATGGCTACAGAATGCACTGTGGGTGGCTTGGAGTGAAGTGCTAGAGCACAGGCTTGTCTGGATAGGTCCTGAACGGCCAAGTGGCCCTTCTGAGCTTCAGCAGCCGCAGGTCTGAGCTCATTTCTGTCGATCATCTGACCCATTACTTGGCTTGTTTAGAAAAAAAAAAAAAAAAAAACTATCCCGTGGATGACCGAGTGATCAATTGCAACGGACAGTTTGTTTAGAAACAAAAAAATGGCTATTTCCTGCAGATGACCAGGATCTCGAGTACAGTGGGCATTCTTCTCCGCTGTGAGCGCACAAATGACCGTGCATCAGTGCAATGGAACGTCTGAAGAGAAACAATGTTTTCACCTCGCGACAGTCTCCGAGAGTCGGCGCTTCAGCTACTGACTACGAGCGAATCCTAGCAAAGGCATTCGGGCGCTCGCCATATCAGGAAGCATTTTTGAGGAGGCTCAGCTCCAGTTGGCTACGAAAATGGAAAGACTCCTCGGCTCGCAAGCCTCGGCTACGGCAATGTGGAACTCCGACTGGCAGCAGACGAATTTGTGTGTCATACAGGCACCGAGAGCAAAAGTCCCTTCGTTCCTCGGAGAAGCGGACGATTGCTGTCATCGGCGCAGCTAGAGTTGAAATTGGTCCAAATTCTGGAGGGTGACCTCGGAAGGAACTGCAAGGTCAAGGACCGACAGACCTTCAAGCGTTTGCGGAGCTAGTCGCCGGGCGCGCACTTACCTCTAGAGGTGACGACTGAGGTAACATTGGGCACGGCTAGATCAACATGAAGTGCGAAAGCGGTCGGACCAGCCGCGCCAGCGGCGAGTAAGGAATACGAGATTCGAAAGTGTGTTAACCGCTCATTAATTCAGCCAGGTTACTCGCGCACCGAAAGTAATAGAGTATCGCGTGTGTGTCCAACACGAAGACTTGATGCGTCCGGCGATTGGAACCTGTCTGTACACGAGCGGCTAGATTCCTGGATGCTATTGCGATGTGATGGGCAGACATCTTCTTCCGTACCACTCATTCAAGCTGCTGAAAATCAAACGCAGCTTGACAATTCTCCATCGCAGGCAAACTACTGATGCACGGCAAAGCACGAACGCCTCGAATTCTACAGCGTCGATCAGGCGCGATCGTTCTGCGTTTACTCCCGCCGCGGTCTCGGATTCAGCTCGGGGCCCACGACACTCAACTTCGCCCGAGACGAAAGCCATGACGTCCTTGTCGGCCATTTTTCGGGTCCGTGATCCTTGCCCTCTTGTCAAAACGCCCTTTTGTCAAGTGCTGCGCCATTCTTTCCTCAGCTCGGGGTTTCAATGCTTTCATCACATACAGGGACGGGCTGTTCGATGCCTTTGAGGTTCAAGGGGAGCAGAGGCTTGGAGTCGTAACTTGCGAGAGTTCGGGTCGAGCTTGAACCAGCCCTCTACTGATGCCCATAGATTGCGAGAGACATAGCTGTTCCAACTCATTGACGGCGAGGCGCATCGTTCAGCTAGAGAGCTCGCTTCCGACGCGGAACATCATCTTGCTTCAGCTGGCGACGCGAAGGCGACGTCGGTCAAGTTGAATGGCTACAACATGCCGGTCGCAGCAAGAAACGGGATTCTGTGCATACTCGCATTCAACCTCGCATTCAAGCTCGCATCGGAAGCCCATGAAGATATCTCGCGAGACACGCTTCCTTGCAGTATGAGCCCCTCAACGCAGAGCATAATACAGAATATATGCCGACTTTGCGCCCTCGACTACCTTCGGATCGACCTGCGTGACTTTCGAGTCTCCAATGTTGTGCCACTCTCGCCCGCTCCTGACAAAGGCCGTGCTGCAAGAAACCCAAGCAGAGTCAGACGAGTTGAGTCCGAAGTGATTGTACGCACTAGTGACCGCTGCTCAGATTTCCGTAATGATTTGTCACCCCAAACAAGTCATACACTTTGCCTTTTGGCGTCGTGCGTTGATCAAACAAGGGCGGCGGCAAATAGTGCGTGAGATCCAAGCCAGTCAAGGGGTATTGGACCTGAGTCTCGACCTGCAACACACGCTGATTAGCTCACACCATTCTAGCACAAAGCGAAGGCGCACCTTGTCGCTGAAAGGCCCGCGGAAAGAGAACCGTTTGAGGTGGATGACGAGAATCGGCGGCAGTCGTGACAATGTCAACCTTTTAGAGGCCCGCCGATTCGTCTTGCATTTTGGACAGAACCTGCGAGACAAGGTCAACACGGTGTCGGCACAGACTTTACAAGGACCGTACCAGGCGTCATCCTTATCGAGAATCTCCTCGCGCACGAATGCACTGATGCACTCCTCAAGCGTCGCTTTTGACGCGCCGCGACCGGAAGGTATAGGGATTGACAGCGGCATAAACGTCTGTGCGTCCTAGTCAGCCATTTCCACCGATTCTCGCCACACTCAACTCACATTATACGTCGTCGACGTCTTGCCGCATGTCAAACACTTGAGTTGATTCCGGAACTGCCCTTGAAAGCACTGCACGACGAAACTGTCGTCGCGCATTCTGTAAATCTCCCATTCTCGCTCGCTCATGATCTGTGGTGGCAACGTCTCGAGGTCGTGTTCGCGGTCGGGCGTCATTTCGATCGGCGGCGGCTTCTTGACGACGTAGTTGAGATCCTCGTGCAAACCGTCGAGCAGGAAACCGAGAAACTCTTGTGCGTCGTGCTGGTCCGAACCTTTGAATTGTGGCGCAAACCTACAAATATTTTCCCGGAAAGTGATTGGCGCCAAAAATGTGTAATTCTGAGCCCAAATTGCTCTGATGAGCTCCGAGACGGCGTCCGCGAGTGCGCCTCTGGTGCCGTGCGGGTTGACCGTATTGACGTCGCGGCGATACGTTCGGTCCTTGAAGTATCGCGCGAACGGCACGGCAGCTGACAAGCACTGAACGGTCGAGTTCATGTAGCAGGTATTTCCCAAATTTTTAAGTCCGGTCAAGCCGATTACATTGTCGTCAAAGTTCATCAACGTCGGGAACGCTGACCGGTGAGCCGAGTACGTTCCAATCGGCACGTATGATCCCGAACTGGACCGTTCTGGAGCTGGTTGTGCCGCAGGGGGCCGGGTGACAGCATCCGGTATCGGTGGCGGTCTCGTCGGACGCGGCGGTAATGGCGAGGGCCGCGACTGAAGTTGAGGATAGTCGATGGACGGCCGCGTATACGGCTCAAAGGATTGCTGCTGCGACACGGCATGCAAGTCGCCATAGTCGCCGCGAGACCGAACCAGTGAGGACGACGACATAAATCCATTGATAGAAGGCTGGTGCGGGTACTGTGGTGATGACGAAGAGTAAGCCGGCTGCGAGTAGCCTTCAACAACGGGAGTCGAGCCAGAACGCCGCACTGCCGTTGGTGGCATAGCCAGCCGCGGCGATAAGACACTGCTACCCGCAGCTGGACGCTCCGGCAAGTAGTCTGAGCTTGCGGGAAAGTAACTTTGTGGGGGAGCGCTCGGTGACGAGTTCGAACCGGACTGAAGAGGACCGGTCAGTAACGGCGCGAGCGATTTCTGAAAGACGTTGCTTGCCGAAGTTGCAGGTAGAACAGCAGCACGTCTGTGCTCCTTCTTTGCGTCTGACGTCGATGGTGCCAGTGGCGTAACTCCGTCGACAGTGATGCCTTTCCCACCGACGTACTTTTCCCAGCCTTCCCAACCGCCTTTCAAAAGCACAGGCTGCCGTTTCAAATGCTTGTAGAATTCGCGCTCGTAGATTGCGTTAACCAGGTTCCAAAGCGTCCTTTGCAATTCCGGAGCTGTCGAGGGCGGCTCTACGCCGGGCAAGCTAGTTGACGCTCGATCGTAAATGACAATCATGTCGTAATGCCCTCGCGCGGAAAACATGTCTTGCTCGTGCTTTGGCGACAGCGACAAGGCAGACTCTATCTGAGCCGAGGTGATCCTGTGGCCCACACGAATAAGCACACGCTTGTACTCGAGGTCGTCAAAACTCACCCCGAACGCAATACGATGGGCTCGAGACAGACTGTCTCGCCGATTATTCGCCCGTGATCAAACTCGTCCCGATTCCGGACATCGAGCAACAACACTCGCGGCCCTTTGCCTTTTTCCGCCTGCGTCGTCGACAAGTAACTGTATAATTGCTGTGGACCAACTTCGCTCGTGAACGGAATCGTGAACGCAGTCGCCGAAGGGCCCGGTGGCGGCAGAGCTTTGTGGATGGCGGTCGACAACCCCTGCTGGAACGTGCTGCTGACGCCGCCGAGTCTCGCTACGGCATCGGCATGAGACCGACGTTGCGACTCGAAGTCGCCCAGATCCATCTCAAACGGCCGTGGCGGTGGCGGCAAGGGCGAACGCGTAGGGTTTGCGGACGCTGAACCGTTCGTCGACGGCAACGACCGTTCAAAGTCGTCCAAGCTTGGAAAACTGTTCATGTCCGTTGGCGATGGTATAGTCCCGCGCTGAGCTGACGGCGGCGGGTTGTTACTCAATTCGAGTCCCAAAGAACTGAATGCTCCTTCGTCCTGCAGATCTTGCTCGTCGTTGACGGGGATCGCCGGGGGAGCGCTGCCCGAGCGCTGCATGGCAGTGTCCTCCACTAAATCCCCACGTGATTTGGCCTGCGGCTTTGGCGTCGCCGGCGGCGAGTTGCGTATCGACAGAGACGCGTCGGCGTGGCCGATTCTAGTGGATTCCTCGGCGGAAGCCGCCGGGGATGCCGCCACGTCAACCATGCCTTTTGCTCGCAAAGCAGCCATTCGGTCCTTGATGGAG